TTTTTTATACCTATAGAGTATTCTGAAAGAAACTGTCCTCCCCTATATTCCAAAGGAGACAAAATAATACCTAGATAATTGACATAATTTTCCATTACTGTCAGGGAATTTTCAGAAAATCGAACAAGTGAAATAATTCATAATTAAAGGTCAAATGCTATATGATATCTAAGGTCTCTAACTGCCTCAGACAATTCCATTTCATTTTCAGGTTTCATCCCAATTTTTTGTGTATGTGATTTAACAAGAATAGCAGTATCCCTGTAGTAAGGTTTTTCTTGGATGATATTTTAAAAAATCTCATTCTAAAATATGACAGGAAAAATGTCATCAAAGATTAGATGTCAAATTTCTCTTAGTGGTTACAGAAAATATAGTGTCTCACTCCAGTTCTATTTAAATCAATCAATAATAGATCATATATCAGCAAATATAAAGATGTGTATTTTTCATTTTTGTTTTCCTATATGCAAATTAAATATTTGGCCCAAAAAGCCAATGTTGCTTTCTACTCTTCTTCATTAGTCTCAAATAGCTTTTACTCATATTTTAGTCATGTTACCACTCTTAAAATATTCTGAATTCCGGATTTAAAGAGTTGGCTTGCAGCACCCTTTATGTCAATTATTGAATTATTCCATGGAACCAGGAATGGAAGATTCATAAACTCAAATGAACAGACAAAGGTGTGGATTCAGTTCAAATCACTAGCCTATTACAGAAAAATTGGCTGCTGCTCCCATAGTGCTGAATTCATTGACATCAGTGCTCAGTAAAATCGATGTGTCTTAAGTAGAGTCGAGGTCAGTCTCGCAAAGGAAGGTAAGTGATTTTTGTCTTCCAAATGACACATCTGGGAATGCTTGGACACCCGGAGTATGGTGCTTTGTAAGACTTAAAGGTCAAATTGGAGGTAACTAGAAAATGTAACTGATAGTAGGCAGTGCTTGAATCGCTGGCTGAGGCTGAGCCGAGTTTTGGGTTGATTAGCAGCCATTTCAGCAGACAAGACTTGGCTAATTGTTAGCACTTCACTTTCAAATCCAAGACACTAGCACAATTATCTGGTCTATGAGGCCTTCTGCTCTGCACTGATGAGGTCACACCCAGATTCACAGAGATGATTAAGTGAAAGCTAAGGGTGTTGGTACTGTTTAACATAGAGAAGAGAGGACTTGGAGGAGGGAGATCTCATTGATATATATAAATACCTGAATTATCTTTGTAAAGGGTCTGGCCGATGAGTCAGCAAGTTTGCAGATGACACTAAACTGTGAGGAGTGGCTGAATACGATTCCTGAAAAGGTCAGATGAATCAGAAATGTATGCTATATCCTCTTTCACATATCTTCAGGACCTTTGCTGGTAAGAGCCATGCCTTGATAGTCACAGGGACAATATGTGATATAGGAGTCCCAGCAAAGGCTCCTGTTCACTGACAATAAGTTCACATGGTTTAGACGATGCTGTTGGTGAAGGATTTATTTATCTGTTAAAGAGTAATCTTTATTGCAAAGCTGGTATTGTGCTAGCACTAATCAGCTTAAACAACATGTGCATGTCCAAGATGAAATTGAAATGTCTCTCAGAATTAGAAAATAAACAGTTCAGAGTAGAAAGTAAGAGCCGTTAATAGCACAACAGGTCATATATTAATGGCTGGTTATTTGCAAATCTGGAATGTGAAGTCACTTAAAAAGAAATAAAACTCCTGATAGAGCTACAAACTGTATGTTTAATAATCAAGGTAAGAGAGGGATATGAGTTGTGATGCAAGACAGAACATAGGAAACTCTCCAAACAATATTTGTTCAACCCTAGCCACTAGTGTCAAACAGAACATTAAAAATTTGAAAGCAAAAACTATTGAAGTACCAGGAATTATACCTACAGCTGAGCATTTGCTAGGATGCACTTAGAATTATTTGACTTGTAGTCTTTTGTTTCCCGTTGTTAGCTAATTGCTGATCTTCCCTCTGGCTAAATTACCCTTTTTACCTTTTCGTTAAGACTGTCTAGATTTCTGGACAACACGATGCATCTAGATGAAACTAATAGAGAAAAACATAGACTCCCATCTATGATCAAAGTCAAATCCTGTTTTTGAGAATATTAAATGTCACATTTCAGGATAAATTTAGAAAAACTCATGTCTGGAATCTATTTGTTGCCAAGATGAAAAGATGGTAAACACACATCTCTTTTTTTGTAAGGAACATCCCTGAATTCTGAGGGAACCAATTTCTCAGCCTTTGTTGGGGCAGCACATTAATAATTTGATTAATCAATTAATGAGTAGCAAAACTTTATTACATATTTTTTGAGCTAAGAATTCAAATTGATGAAACTAATTCTTTAACAAAAAAAGCTAACCATAATTCCCCAAAAGCAGAGTCAAACAAAAAAAGTTTTTATTTCTTTTGTTCTTTATGTCATCCATGTTTCCAACACATATAGAATATCAAAAGTTAATTAAGTAAATGTTTTAGAATACTAAGATGATCAGAACTCAGGATGTGGTACACAAAACTATTTTTGACATTAGAACTTCAGAATCATCATGGAAAGTTCTCAAAATAACTTGTTTAGTTTAGCATAGCAGGCAAAAATAGAAAAAAAAAAGTAACCCAGTCTACTCACCCTCAGTGCCACATAACTGAGCTACCCTTCAGTATGCCATAAATATGTACTTGTAAATCAATGTCAGTTAGTTGCACTATTAGCAGATATTTTTAATCTGGCTCACTGAGTGGGGTTACTGAAGCATATGACTAGAAATATTTTCATCAGATTTACTCCCATATGCCACTAATTTCTTCAGTCTACAAGCACGTCACATAGTTTCTGATTGTATCAGAATATATATAAATCATATAAATCAGTATGCTGATTTATCCATTTTTGCTAAAATTCTATCCATGTGTCTAGTGGCATTACACACTGAAGTGAAAATATTTCTTCTAGAGACATTCCTGGCTTAATGTACCAAAAAAAATACTAAATTTACATAACACTAGCACTTAATGAATATTATGAAAACTAATTAATTATAGTTCATAGATTAGTTTTATTTCTTAAAAGTGATTATTATTCTTATCTTCTCCTGGTTAAGGACTCCCTTACAAAATAGCCAATTACTTCAGTTAAATAACAAGGTAAAAATCTCACTTTAAATTATAATATTTTTTGAGAGTTTTAATTAGTAAATACCAATAACAATTTGTATAAAATATAGGAATTAGGAAAGCAATCAAACTGCAAATGAAAGGGTTTAGTCTCCATCAGTATTTCTGTATTAGTATGCCAAGAGTTTAAAAATAATATACCCATGTCTTACATGAATTTAACAATATAAAATATTTACACAAGGGGAATTAATAAATATTTACTTATTTGTGGTTCAGACAAGATAAAGGAGTAGAACAATTAATGAACTGCTTTACTTAATAATACAGTGCATTTTTCAGACAAAGAGAAATCACACTGTCTCAGTGAAAGCCCTCTAGTTTGTCTTCAGACAAATAGATATATAAATGAGTTGAATAAATTTAGAATTGAAACAAACAATGTTTTAGAAATTTCTGCAGTGATATTCAAGAATAAATTTGATAGTGACAAGCAGCAGATTTCAGTCAACCAGGTATTGTTAACATGATACCACAGAGGACAAGAACAGGGACTCTCTGAGTTCTGTGCTTATGTGGATGATGCTCCTGTTTCAAATACATTTCCTGAAGAACTTTTGAGAATTTTTTAATTTTGAGAAGTTTTCAATAATAAAAAAAGACAATTATGTTCCCATGAAAAATTAACATTTGTTTATGTATGATAGTTTTAGACCTAGTTCAAAGAGGAGAAGAAGACAAATCAATGTAATGTTAGAACCTCTTAGAGTTTTAACTACAGTTAAAAAGAAATAGTTGGAAGTTTGTTAAGGAATAGGATTAACTTCTGACTTCACCCCACAATATAAATAGTAAACTGAGAAAAGAAGGACAGACTCTTAGATGAGGTTTGTTCTTCCAGTCACACATTAGCTTTTCCAAGGGAAAAGAGCTTATGTTTCAGGCACAGTTCCTTTCACTAATCATGCATTTTGAGAAGGTGGGGACATAAATAAATAATCTTTTTTTTCATGCTACAATCCATTGAATCAAAACCTGAACCACTACCATGCACTCCCATTAAGACTTTTCTAAGTTTTTTTTTCTTGAAGAGTAGCAAAAGAAGTATTCTCTTCTCATTACCAGTGGTCAATTGATTAAGCCACTTTCCTAGATTAAGGAGATATGAGTCAATTTTACTTAATAAGAATCTACCTGGATAGAATACAGAACACTTTGGTTAAAAATCCATGGAAATGTGAATAGATGCTGTCATCTCTCTGGTAGCACCTCTGCATTTGACTGTTTGTCCATGATAGTCTAATTTATGATAATCTAATTTATGATAGTGCCTTGAGTGAGAGAGAAGCTATCACTTCCATAACAGTTTCTGAGAATATAGTAAAAGGTAGTTAATACAAATATGGATAATGTGACATTCCACTTCCATGTGGCACTTGTAAAACCTTTATTTTTTCTTATTGAGAAAGAGAGGAAATAATATTGTCTCACCTGTGCTAATATGATATTGTGTCAAGCTGTAGTTGCTTAGGATGGTGAGATCCTTTATTTCAACATTAAAGGAAATCCTCATCTTTAAAAGGCAGAAATGCAGAACTGCCTCTTGGATACTAGATATTAAGGCACTATTTAAAACATTCTTGATAATACGGTATGGTTTTACATTCAGTTGTGTTTTAAAGTATGTAACTGACAGAACTCTAACTTGGAGTACTAAGGAAATACCTTCTGTACAGCACTTCTATTGCAAACTCGGATCTATGAATATGAATTGCTTGATGCCAAATTTTAGGTCTTTTTCTCTGTTAAAACAAATCATACTTTTGGTGGGTTTGTTCATTTATGAAAGAAAAAAATTAATGACAGGAAAAGGAAAGTAAATGAACAGATTTTTAAGCAGTTGTATGGTTTAGGTTTATTTTTTCTCCTGATTCCAACACATGGACAAACTGCTGTCAGCAAGTGCCAAGCTGCCTGATCATGGGTCTGACTAGCTGTTACATTTTTCGTCTGACATGGTAGGCATCTTCTTGCATAAACTTCAGATGTCAGCAGCAATGAGGGCCCTTGCTTTTTCTGGAACTATAAAGTTGGAAAAGACCATCTGTTCAGCCTTCTGTTATCTGAACTCCTCCCTAGAAATAGTTTTCAAGAATATATTAAGACCTGCAAAGAAAGAGATAAAGTGTAAGATGTTGGTAAGATAATTTTAACCCTTTCCTTTCACTGCATGAAATTTATGTTTTGTTAGAGATGCTTCACCAATGAAAACTAAAAGGAAATTTTTGTAGTTCACAGCAATTTGGTTTATGGTATTGAATTATTCAGCAATAAAATTTTACCTTATAATAAAATGTTTTCTGTACAGTTTTAAATGTTATTGTGATATGTCCAATAGTTAAGAGACATTTGATATTCTCTTCCCATATGAAGTTTTGAAAGTATATATTCAGCAGTAATCTGTGCCAGAACAAGAAGTCTACTAGAACACTCCCAAAATAGCATGAAATAGCAGGAATATATACTTCATATAGATGAAATATAGTTTATGTAGAGTTTTATTTGGAATAAGGAATGAATATGAATTTAATTAAAATTACTCTGTATAAAGCATTTTCTTTTCCTTCTTAAAAAAAAAAATCTACTCTACAACTGCTTAAAGTTAAGCATATATACACAGTTTTTTATTCACACTTCGTAGGCTGTATTCCTTGTTACCAAATTCAGCAATGACAGCACAACATAGAAGTTTTCTAGCAGTGTACAGAACACTGGGGTCCCAAATATGGATGGTGCCAAAAACAAAGTTAATTTTGAAAGCCAGCAAGAGTTCTATTTTATAAGAGTTGCAATTAGTATAAAAACAACTTTATTTTAATTTTCATTATTCATACAGACAGAAATCTGATACCTATCTTGTCTCAAAAGCTTCACATCAAACAAAAATGAAGTCTGTGGGAACATTTCCATTGTCTTGAAAGAACTGAGGATCAGGATTTCCCTTCATTAGCCACTTACTGCTTGGGAAGCATGAAATACCATAGGCTGTAGAACTATTAGGTTTTTCAATATGTTCATACTGCAATGCTTTCTAACACTGACACTTTTTTCCTCTTTTCTTTCTTATGAAAGCTATTATTACTTGTAAAAAGAGAAAAAAGTGTAATTGCATTTTCCATAGAACAGAATTAGTTTGAAATGCACTGTTACAACCATTCATCTTGTAAACATTATGCTGATGTGATAGAAGCTTTTAAAAAATCATACAGCAGCTCAGTGTTATATGGAACATCTACTGCTTTCCTTTGTTCTTCAAACTCAAACAAGGCAGCTGGAAATGTTTTTATGGTTTCATTAAGAAGACATGTGACTGGTAGTGTGCCAGCACAGTTTTATTCTCATTTGTTGACAGATTATTAGAAGCTATAATCAAAAAAACCCCACATTTTATTCAGTTCCTGGCTTTTTATACTATTTTAATACAGCTTTGCAAAGCACACCTTGTAAACTTTATTAAGAAAGCTACAAATGACAATTTGAAAGTAATCCCTATTTAGTTTCCCAAATAAGGTCATAAACTAGTTTAGTGACTTGAAAAAAAGATTTTTGGGTAATTTTAATTCCAGTATTATCATCTTTCTGAAAAAAATTACCCATAAAACCCCCTCAATTAGCTTCAACATTGAAATTAATATGAAGCTAGGCTTTCATTAAGAAAAGAGCAGACATTAATTTAGAAATTAGACTTTATTTATAATTAGCTAAATCATATATAACAATAAAACCTCATTATTATTGTTATTGTTGTTGGTTTTTTTTATTTTATTAAAAGCTGCTCAGAACAGAAGAGGTCTCTTTCTAACTCTCTAGTCCCAGATTGAACAAATGGCACCCAAACAAAATTTTCCCAGAATCTTTTTAAACCCAAACACTTGGATGAAACCCAAACACTTGGACATCCTTGTGTGTTTCCCTTCAGTAGAGCAATGTAAGGATGGAAGTCAGATTCTTAACTGCACCACCTCTGGGCAGGATGAGGAATAACCATTTATTATTTTTTAAGGGTTTCTTTATGAGAGTTCAAGCCCACTGTGATCTGATAAGAAGCAAAACCTCTATATGACCCTTAATGTTTGATTCTATATTCTGGTAATTCATTGGATGCTTGGGAATCTGCAGTCTTACTGACAGTCATGGGAGAAAATGCCTGTCTCTGCTGGCCTGTCTGGACTGTTACTCCACTGATCCCACACACAAACAATATGGGTACAGGTACAGCTAATAAAAAGTGTTTTATTTTACTTATGCAACTACATACATTTTTCTGCTTCTCTTAGGCTGGAATTCTCAATATTTATAGTCAATATGCTCCTCCAAAGCTTAGCATAATTGATCTGCCCCATGATGACATCTCTCTTCTTTATCTTCTCTGTTTTGGGAAAAAATTTAGATCTTTCAATAAAGAAGTTGCATTTCTATTGCTGTGTAAAGATCTAGGTTTCTAAGCTGTGAAGCAGCATTAGTATTTACCTTTTTGGCATCTGTTGCACTATATTTCTCTTCAAGGAGCTGTGAAATTCTCTTTCCTCTCTGCAGTGGCTGTTACATACTCTTCAATAGGGAATGCATAATTTCCTGAATTTTACTTTTTATTTCATGCTACACATTAAAATATGCAAAAAAAATATAAATAGATGTCATATGTACAGGCCTTTTTTTTTCTTTTTTGACTGCAGACAGTCCAGCTATAAGAGAAATCAAACACTTTTAAATGTAATGACTTGCACATGAAAAATTCTCAACATGTTTCTCTCAAATAAACTCAAGGGATGTTCATAATATATATACACCTCATTGCAGATACACCTATTACTCATTTAATTTTGTAAAAATAGTCAGATAAGATATATGATCAAAATAATGGAATACATTGTGAATTCTGAATCATCAGAATGTATTTTCTAGGATAAATCTTAATTTTAATCTGTTCTTTATACAATAACATTTGAAATAGGAAATTTTTCTTACCCCCTACTTTGAACACTCAGAAATAATATGCAAGCGATGGTGGCTATGGGAATGGATTTTGAAAGGGCATAAGGTCAAAATAGATCCATTTTTTTGTTTGGGAAGTACATCTAATTTTGCGTGTGCAAAGGTCTCTGTTATTCAAGCAGAAGGATTTCAGAGACCATATTTCTGGCTATCATGTTCCTTTTCTCGAATTTGGTTAAATATGTTGCAATCAAAGTTGATCAAATCAAATAATCAAATCAAATAATTCTTCCTTGTTATAGCATCACTCCATTTGATGACTATATCACTCTCAGCCTTACAGCCTGAAGTCTTCTGCCAGTCAGTTACATGTTAAGGAAACATTTCAAAAACCGTTGTCAAAATTATGAAGAAAAATAACACACAATTTCACCATGTAAAGGAGAAAATAATCTATCTCTTGGAGGAATTTACTATCTCAACACGTTTAGCAAACTTTTAATTAAAGAGTAAGATTTATTATCTTCGCAAACAAAACAATGAGTGCAGTGGGGTGTAACAATTATCTTATCAGTTTTAATTATCCCAGTGCCTCACACTTATCTTGTCCTGTCACTGACATATCATTCTTGAATTATACAGATCTTCAGAAATGGTATGCCTTTTTATACTGCTGTTACTCTCAGCTACAGCCAACGTTTCTGTTTCCTCAGTAATAAGTATCTTTACACTACCAACATTTTTTCCTAAAAGTATGTTCCTAATTTTTCTTTAAATTTATAATCCCAGCTAACTGTCCCCAAATACTGTAAAATTTATTCCATTAAATTGGTCCTAGGCTTTCTTTTGACTTAAATGAGATTAAATTTTTAAAGAGCTTTCTGTTTCACTGGAATAGTTTGAACTTGTGAAGTAAATACCTTGAGTCATGAAAACCCACTGCATTCCATTGCAGGCACATAAATAAAACTAAACTAAATCAAACTACTAAACTTCAACCATGTGAGGTCTGGCCTGTCTGGCCTCCATCTCCAGAGACCTTTCTTTCTCCTTGGGGATATCATATTTGATAGAATGAACATAAAAATGAAATTTAATTATCATTTTGAACAAGGTTTACAAAAACAAAAATTTACTGTGTTTGTGGGTTTTTATGAGAGGGTGGCTTGCTGTCCCCAAAATGTGTAGTAGTGACAGGAAGAAATTGTCTAGTTTGTGTATTTGTAGTCACAAAATACTATGTTTTTCTGTTCAGAGATGGCTTTTCTGTACTGGCATTTAGCCCAGGACATGGTGGCTAATTTACCAGGGAACTGGAAGGCCGCTGGGGAGTGTTTGGATTAGCAGCCAATAAAAAATATAGACCATCAATGCTTTTTAGAAGAGAAACTTAATATGGACAGAAGACAGTAAAAACGTAACTGTTGCTTTAGGCAAGAACTGTGTGCTTCTCCAATCTTCCATTTTGTTGTTTAATTTAGTAAATGAAAAAACAAAAAGAAAATATATAAACCCTACTTTATTTCTGGAAAAAAATATATATATTAATTATATAAGCCCACTTGACAGGTATTTATTACTTTAAATGTCAAGACTTAGATCAGGAATTTTCAAGTAAAAGAGGGAATAGAAACCTGTAAGATGTTGCACAGGAGAAATGACATCAACAGTATGTTTTCTGCATTCTGAATACAAACTTACCATGTCTACAATGGTAATGTCTACTACAATGTTGAATGGGCAAAATGATTATGAGGATTACAGCTTTATCCTGACATTACTATCATATTGTTTCCTGATGTATAATCCTTTAGAGGTCTGTAACATTTTAGTGTCAGAAATGTGACTTAATTCTTCTGTTTTCACCTGCGATATTATGTCTGATGTGTCACTGAGCCAGTGCTTTTAGTGATACTTCATGCAGAAACATCAGGATGAATAATATAATCAATACCACTCCAGGTGAGTGAGATCTATAGACAAGAGTATTGGGTTTTACTTTGTGTTCAGTCTTCAGCTGTTTATTGACTTGCTTTAAGGTTTAGTGGGAAGTCAGTGACTTAGGGAATACATAAAAAACACAGCTGTGATGGTACACTTTTCCTATGCCTGTAGAAAGACTGAAAAAGAAACATGAGTATGTGGAAGCTTTTAGCTGCTTTTTAGAAGGTATATCCTAGAATGAGGCATGTTGTAAAACAAGCCACATGAAAATTGTTACACTTATGAAAGAAACCTAGTTACTATTACATATTGAAACCAAGTTCAGACAATTTAGCTATAATCTGATATTCATAATTGTATGTTTTTTAATAAGCCCAGGATGTCTGAGATCAGAAAGAGTTTGAGAAGTCGTTGGCAAATGCGAAGTAAGCCCAGAATAGTGCAGGATATTTATTGTAACTGTTTCATGCCTGGATTAAAAAGTTGTAGTTATTATGGAATAAGAAGCAAGCTCTGTGTAAAATTATGGCCAAAAATTTTATGTTTTAAAATTGTGTGTCATTGTTTACAGTGGTATGATATACAGTTTAGGAAATTGTATTCCTTGGCCTTCCTCTTTAGAAAGAGAACATGTAATAAGAGTGGTGGAAATTTGCCACTTGTAGTAGCAGTGTAAAAGATTTTGTTGGGTCTTTTTTTAATCTGATCTGTGTTTGTAGACTCTGTTTAGATACCTCAACTTTTATGTAGTGATAATACAGGAATAGTAATTTTGTAATTATAGTCATCAGTGTCCCACGTGTCAGTAATCACATTTGTATAATTATGGCAGAGTACCTAGAAAATGACATGCTGTTTTTCATAAAAAAATAATTTTGGGTACGTCATAGAGCATTTTTTTTTTAATTACATGTGTATTTCTACCATATTAGATGTCTTCCTTTTCTTCCTTCATTGAAATAATCTTATGTACTATTTTCCTTTTTGGCAGTCTTATGGTTACAACTTGAACAGTTCCATCTGATTTGGTGGGACTGATGAGTTCAAATCATAAATGTGAAACATAAACACATAAACTTTCAACATAAGGCAAAAGCCATTATTTCTATAAGATAACAAAAAGAGAGCATGCAATACTTGGCATCCCAGATCTGCATGTATTTCTTTTTTCCACTTGTCAAGTAGTCAGTGAGAACCAATTAAGGCCAGTATTTCTTCAGGGTAAAAAAATATTTTTTTGCTCAACTACTCAAAAGTGATATAACTCTCCATTTTCACTTGTCTTTCTGCTCTTGCTGTTTTATATTTCAAATTCCCTTATAACTCAGTCTCCTCTTTACCTGTTTTGTTTTTGTTTTTGTTTTTTGAATTTTTTTTTAATTTTGTTTTTGAGTGTTTTTTACCAAGGAAAAGCCCCAAATTTTAATCTTAATTCTTATTACTTTATTTCTCAGTTATTTCATCAAATTTTATGTAATTTATTCTAATATATACACACAGAAATAGAAGCTTAAAATGCTACAGTGAGAACACAGTTGTAAAAAAAGATAAGATGACTATGCATCTTTTTGTAAAAGATCTGTCACTTAGAGTGATTGTACATCTTGTGTTTAAGAACAAAATTCTTATTTAATTCATTTGTCACAGTAAGGGAAAACTTTGATCAATCAATCCTTCACATGGCAGCACCAAGATTGTAACTAATGATTGAATCCAGCTCTTATTGTATAGTATTCAACTAAAAAGAGGGTTTGTTAATAAGAAATTCAAGGTAAAACATATTTTTTTGGTTTTTTGGACAAGACCCAATAGCATATCTTTAAGAAAGAGCATTAAATTTAAATATTTTTCCAGCTGAAATGTGACATTAGTCTAAACTTTTCTATTTCCTACTTGCAACCTTGAAATAATGATAGAGAATGAGAGAAAAAAAATCCAGAAAAATTAGAATGGAGGTGTACTCCTTTCCTGGAGATATTGGGTGAGTACTGAAGGCATCTTTGTTTTTTCATATGACTATTGGTCATATCTTTCATAACCAAGAACTCTTTTATGAGGGCTATAAGGAAAGTGCATTCCAGTCTCACTAATTTATAAATGGAGAACTCAGTTCTCACAGAGATTCGCTGCTTGTGGTGTGCTCTTAGCTACTGAAGAGATGAAGGTGAGCTTCAGAGATGTGTGTAGAACTAGACAAGGTGGTTCTTTTGAGCTTAGGCAAAGGCCAGCATGACTTTCAAAAGAGAACTAAAGAGGAAGACTCCTGCAAAAAAAGAACCACTGTGCTGGTATTACTTTCAGAACCTTTACTAAGATAATTTTTTGATAGATGAAGAACATAAGATGGAGGTAAAAATCTGGAAATTGCTGAGCGAATAACATTATTACACACTCCTCTGGTATTTCTCCAGAATGGAATGTGAACTGTCTTTGATGAAAGCTATGACAAACACTATTCTCTCATCTCAAGAAATGGTAGTATGAATTTCTTTAAAACCTTTTGTACTGGAAGATTTGAAATGCTTTTAAAATCTTGTCAAAAATTTCCTCAGAAAGAAAGGAAATAGCAAGAAAGAGATCTGAATTCCAAGGGAAATGTAGGTAGAATCATCCCGTATTTTTCATATAAAGTTGAAATTTAAAATGAAAAAATCATAATTTTCACTATAGCTATCTGTCAGGGTGTAGTTTGCACCCTGAATTCAATTGATCAA